TTGATATACGATTATGTATGTTAATTTGATAAAAGTTTAAAATGAAACATTTAAAAGTAAATGACGTAAAATAAATTAATTATTTAATTATAGGTGTATAAAGAGTAAATTTAAAATTATAATTTTAAAAAAATCGGTTGTGAGATGGTGGATGTATGTGAGAAGAGGAGGGGTGAAAAGGTGAAAAAATGAGTATAAATGATATTTTGGTCATTTAGTATTGGGCAAATTGCATGAAAAAGTAATGTACTTTAACTTGATTCCTATTTTGGGTAATGTACTTTCAAAACTTCCGTTTTGGTACCTAAGATGTAAGGTTTTAAACATTTAAGTACCCGGGTAACTGGTTGAAGTATTAACCGGTTATCATACTGATGTGGCGAGTGATGTGGTATCCAACTCGGTATTACTTGTTGACCTAGTCAGTGACGTGGATTTTTTTAATCTAAAATTAGTTTTTTTTTAGTCTAAAATTAGTCTTCACTGGGTTACCCGGGTACTTAAATGTTTAAAACTTTACATCTTAGGTATCAAAATGGAAGTTTTGAAAGTACGTTACCGAAAATATGAATCAAGTTAAAGTACGTTACTTTTTCATGCAATTTGCCATTTAGTATTTTAAGACTTATACTAAATTTGCTTAATAAGATAGTATATATATATATATATATATATATATATATATATATATTGTGATGTTTGATTTGTATAATGTTTTCTAACGCAATGGAATATATTAAAAATATTTGACTTTAAAGAAATATGAATGAAATTTGACTCTACGCTTGGTTGGAAATAATTGGAACAAAATCTATTAAATGATTTAAAATATATTTGTTCGGTTTGGTTGGTAGAATGTAGCTTTGGAATTAAAATGAATAAACGACGAATGACTAAAATACTTTTTTTATAACAGTGGTGGTCGACRGTGGTTCAAATCGGTAGTGGTCGGTTGTGGTTTATAATTAGTTAATTTATTTTATATTTTCATATAACATAAATAATCGTATATGATTTGACCCTGTTCCGTAATCGTATGTAATTTCGATGCAAAATCATATTCGAATTAGCCGTTCCCATATATATTCTCTTATTTTAACCCAATTCTCGTATGATCTTCTCTTAGATCGTAAAATTCTAAGCRGCTATTTACCAAACACTTACCGGATAAACACTTACTGGTAACAKAAAACACTCACTTAACTTACCGGGTAAGATTTTAGTCCATTAAAACACCGTATGAAACCGTTTTATCCGGTAAGCGCTTATCGAACAAGTCRTCTCTTACTTACCAKGTAAGACTCRGTCCCWATTATCGTTCTTACCAKGTATGATTYTCAATCTTTATCATATTCATTCRAAAAGGTAAAGTAACCCGGTAARCATTTACCAAATAAACRTTTAGTAAACRGCCGATAGGGTCCAATTTCGATCCAATGGACTTTCCAAAAGAACACCAATAACTACTATGCCTGATGTCGATAACTGAAGACCGGTCCATGAAAAAAAAATAGGCCTGATTGGGCTTTTGGCCCAATTTGGACCTAGACCCAAGCCCGATCCTAAACTCAGGCTTATTAGTATCGGGCTTTTCTCGGTCCGAKACTATTTTATGCAATCTCTAATCATGGTATCGGACATCACCTCGATCGAGATACTATACTCTAATACTAGTTTCCRTGAACGAGTAGTTCATAAAGACTTCATTCGGATTACGCTCTTCTAAACCATAAAAAGTATGCTACAGAATGGAAAAAAGAAGAAAACAAACTACGAGTTCCCACCAACGCCGGTTCCGATTCCAATTCCGGTTCCCTTGAAGCTCTTTGACAGCCAAATAGCAGTTTCTCTAGGTGACACCTTTTCGGGCCCAAATGGCTTCAACAAAACCGCTAATTCCTCTATTCGTTCTTGTTGCATCAGCTGTGCACTGAACTCCAACAACCCTTCCAATGCTTCRGCCCGTTGTTGATACGATGACGTGTCGAACCGACGCCTCTGCCCTCGTGAATCGGACGACGAACGGCTCGAACCCGCCCCTGTCGTTGCCTGGTTCGGCTCCAACCACTCATCGCTCCTGTTTGTTGAGTGGGCACCGCTGGCGGTCGTTTGGTGGCTCTGGCTCACAATCTTGACCGTGCACTTATCGATTGTAACTGACCGGTCAGGGATGGTGGTTGGAGAAGTACCGGAAGAACTCTGAGCCGATGTTGAAGTAGCTCTACGAACTGGTAGGATCGAGGGTTCGTCTCGAGAGGTTAACGGCAACTCAGTCATCTTGTCGATCCGTGGAGCATTGACGGATACATTTGGAGATTCGAAATCCAAGAGGGGTTTTGCAGCTGTTGCCGATAAGGGTAGAGATGTCCTACGACTTGTTCGCACTGATCTGCTAGCTGGAGTTCGTRATACCGGAAGCTGAACAGAGTACAAATTACATTAATGACGACAAAATTTATAACTTTCTAAATTCAAAATGGATACAAATTTTGTWACATAACAACATATCATATCAATTTTGAAAATGATTATTTTCACCAGCATAATATTCGGTTATCAAGAACATACCAAATCACGATCGGTACTCCCTCTGGTTATCTTCGGTGAAGCGGTTTGTCTTCGGGGAGTAGTAACGGAAGGTTTTGCAGGAGTCGATCTCAGGGTTCTGAGGRCATTTGATGTCTTAGCAGCGACTAATTTCTCAGTATGTATATATTCTTCAATGCTGCCAATGGATAGCTTTCTAGCTGACGATCCTGATAAATCGTGTGTCTTCTGMGAGCACGAAGAATACTGATCGTGTTCAGATATACTTGGATTCAAAGCCCTGTCGCTGCTAAAAGATTGTCGTTTCTCGTTGTGAAGATGAATRGTTCGAGGTTCGGGCTCGATGAACGTTGTTTTCTTTTCGTAGTTGTAATCCGACCACCGGACCGGAAGGGTGTGACGTCTCGGGCCGTTCAAGTTAAGATGGAGCTTAAGTACATACGGTTGAAGAAGCGAGTTTTTCAGTAAATCAGCAGCCTGCAAAATCAAAACCCCACAAGGTTCAATAACAGAAAGCATATAACCTTGAAGGCCACCTCAACCAACGAAAGGATGGACCTTGGGCCCGCCTCATAAGTTGTCAGGGCCACTAAGGATTTTCACAGCTAATATMTTCAGGGCCACATAGGATTGCTCGAGATGCACGCAAGGTAGCCGGACACCCATAGTTGCTAAGAAAATAATAATAAGAGTAAATTACTTTTTTCGTCTGTGGTTTGTTAAAAATTGTGATTTTCGTCCTTGTGGTTTAGAAATTGCAATTTCATCCCTMTGGTTTTTAATTCATTGTTATTTTCGTTCTTATGATTTACAATTTATTGTTATTTCAGTCYTTATGGTTTAAAATTCTTTACTGKYTTGGTACCTGTACTTAAAGGTAGGAATTAGGCCAGGGATGAAAAATGCAAATTCTAAACCACAGGGACGAAAATATAAATTACTAACAAACCACATGGATGAAAATCGTAATTTACTCTAATAATAATAATAATAATAACAAAAAGCAGAAGTTTGAGATTTTTATTGCAGTGGTTGGTATGTAGACGAGACTCGACCGGATTGAACGGGACTGGACCAGACAAGACAAGATGAGCAGGAGTGATGTAGGCGGGTGAAAAAATCATGGAAGATTTTAGGGTTTCAATTTTACATGGATAATTTAGTAATTTACCAAGTTTGTCCCGTCTTCGTGATTTTTGTTCCAGGACAAAAAAAATTCATGTTTGTCTCACCCAGTCCTGTCAGTCCCAATCTAATTGTCACACTCACACCAAACATGGGAAAAGTTTATATTCTATCATGTCCTATATTGTCCAGCGTGCCAAAGGCATCCTAAGGAAAAGAATTAGAACGAGAAATAAATTTACTTACACTTGGTCTCATTTCTGGGTTTTTCCGCAGCATACTCTTAATGAGCCCTCGACTAAAAATAGATMATTGAAAGTTAATAATGTTATAAAATACGACATAAACGAATAGCATTCATATTGAAAATTAAATAACTCACAGTGTGCCTGAATACATGGTTGGAAGTGGAGATACTATAGATTTATTTATTTTGTTGATCAAAGATTGCATATCCTGCTCAAAAATGAAGTTTCAAAGTAGATAATTAAAAATTTCACCTACGAATACAACAAAGATGAGTGAAAACATAGCTTATGTTAAGCATTTAGAGCACCAACAGATTCTYTATAATTTCTCTAAAATAAAGAATCAAAAGTTAAAATCTCATAATTACCTTCGACTACAACAGATTCTCTATTTCAGATATTTTAACATTAATTATGTAATTAATATATTCTATAGTTTTATTTATCCAATACACTTTAAAAAAATATATAAGATAATAATAATTCAGTCTCATTGGAGGGAATAAACAAAAATCATCTCTCTCCTCACATCAAGTTTTAGAGAATTCTCTTAACTTGTAGTTGCTATTGTTTTCTCTACTTTAGAGAACAAAATCTCCATTTTCTCTATTTTAGAGAAWATGTTGGAGGTGTTCTTTAGCTAATAAAACTCGTTATTTTTTAATAGAGCAACTCGTAAGTTCATAAAAAGCACATGGACTTACAAAAGCTTTGAATGCAGTCTTGAAAGCGGTCATTTCATACATACAGCATCCTGGACGAGTTGTGCACGAGAATTACATAAATTAGCCAGAAAAAAAAACTAAAAAAAACACAAACAAAAGGTTTCAGAAATACCTAAAGACCATATGTCTGATTTAGAACCATAAGGTATATCTGCAAGAAGTTCAGGGCACATATAGCTAGGAGTTCCCACAACCTGAAATTAAAAAAATTATACAAGGGAAGTTCAGCCATTAGTTAAACTTAGGGCAAAATGCATCAAAATACATCAAAATACAACAAAGTTTGGTTTAGTTTCTATTGTGTAACAAAAAAATCTCAATCAATGTTACAAAGTTTCAAATKTTATTCTTTTGTACCCATTTTGACCGATAATMTGTTGATCTTGTAACATTTGATGATGTGGATACAYGTTTACGAAAAATTTATGAAATGTGTATGAAAGGGTTTACGCGAGTGGACGACRAACTTGACCTCTACACATCAAATGTTACAAKATCARCATGCTATCGGTCAAAATGAGTAATAAATAGGAAACTTAAGACTTTTGTTGCATTTTAATACCCCAAAAAATCTAGAAAATCAATTGTGAAGGCAATTATCAAATACCGAGGATGCAAGATCTTCAGAAGTCAACATTTTAGCAAGACCAAAATCACCTGAAAGGAGCRAAAGCAACTCAGGCTAATATGAAGCTATAAAGGTGCATGTTCCTTGAAACACTAAGGTTTCAAGGTATCAGGTACAAAATGGATAGTTATTACCAAGTCGGATATCCTGGTCTCGTGTTAGGAATATATTTGAACACTGAAATGAAATGAAAATTTCATCAAATTCAGATATATTGTAACAGAAATGTATCATATTATCAATATCAGCTAACATATCATAGAGAGATATCATCACGAACCTTGACATCACGATGAATAATATGATTAACATGCAAATAATCGAGTGCCACCAGTAGTTGAACGAGCCATTTGCAGAGTTTCTACACATTTTTTTTCAAATAAAAATGTCAACATGAAGACACCGTGATGCCAAACTTAACAAAATGAGAGTTACAAATAAAGACAAACACACAAAGAACTAAAACCTCTTCTGAAAAATGAACACCATTGGCTTTTTTTATTGCTTCCGCCCTATATGAACAAATGGTTAGAAAAGATAACAGCTTGTGGGAAGAACGATAATTTTTAGTGTGTAGTTGGTTGAGAATATAACTTACATATCTCCTCCTTCACAGTATGCTATAACAATGCATACATAGCAACCCTGAAAGAAAGAAAAAGGATCGAAGTTTGATAACTCACAAGGCATGACWACCAATTCAACGTGTGTTTGGTATGCAGATAGGACTAGACAGGACAAGACTGGATGGACGAGACTGATGTAAGCGGGTGAAAGAATTGTGCAATATTTTAGGGTTTTAACTTGTCATGAGTAGTGTTGTAATTTACCAATCATGTCACCCACCTATTTTGCTGGTTTTTGTCCCACTCAGTCATGTCATGTCCTAATCTAAATGTCGAACAAAACGTGGGACAAGTTTTTGTTTATGCCCAACGTACCAAACGCACTCAAAGACATAATGTGGCAAGCCCTAGGAAACCAACTGAAGTGCAATAATTTACAGAGCACGAACCTTTTCAACCCACGAATCTTTGTACTCCACTATAAAAGGATTTTGCACGGTGGAAATAAGTTCCATCTGCATTGACACAACCAAATCAGCTCTGCATACTCAGTGATGCAAAAATGAGGATGAGATCTTCACTTGATGTTGTTCGCTAAAAAGTTAAGACTATAATCCCTTTGTTATGTCCTAATGTTAGACGTTGTGTAATTACCAGCAATTCAACAGTAATCAATATTGTTTGTAGTAAGTTTTTCCAATGGAAATCAATTAACACCAACTAATATCATATACATCATTTACATATTTGATTGATTTAATGCATATTCTCATGAAACAACTTCTTTAGTGACATCTCCAACAGATTCTCTATAATCTCTCCAAAATGGAGAAGCAATAGTTAAAAGTTCTAAAAAAGTTACATTCATCTCTAACAGCTTCTCCATTTTTTGGAGATTTCAACATAAATTATATTATTAAAAATATTCAATAGATTTAAATCATTTAATATCCCAATAAACWTTCACCTGAACTTCATATGAAATGATAATACATTCAACTTCATTTGAGGGAACAATAAAAAGTTATCTATCTTCAGCATTTAATTTTAGAGAGTTTTCCGAATTTGGAGATATCTATCCTCTCTCTCCTACTTGCTCCATTMTGGAAAAAGTTTTGAAGCATATGTYGGAGCAAGAAAAGGGGGGTTAAAAACTCCAAAATCTCCCKTTTGGAGAATATGTTGGGGATGCTCTTAGTTTGTAGTTTGCTCTCTAAGACAACTTGTATTATCCCTATGAATTATTCTGTTCAATAAGCAAGACCAACCTCCAAGAGAGCAGATCGGCGGGTCCTGTCAGATTGGCGAGCAAGTCGAATCTTCTTCAAGACATACCTGAAAAGATGGAACTATAATCAGTAGAAACAACCAACAAAACCGTTAAGAGCCCCATGCCGGCTRAACTTGGACCATTTCTCCACAATATRTGTTGGAATCTCYCTTGTCTCCTACTCTTTTGGAGAGTAATCTAATGTGGTTCCACATATTCCGACAAAAACCATAGATTTTGCCTGCCATAGAGAGCAACAACTACAAGAATAGGATTMAACCAGTAGATAGAAAGCCTCACCTTTTCTTTTCATGTTTATGCCTCACAAGTAGAGCAGAAGCAAAGGAGCCTTTCCCAATCTGTTCTAGAATTTCATAATTCTCCATTGATAAACTCCCTCCTCTAATACTTTCTAGTGAGCTTTAATGGAATCACTCCCAGCTAACATACACTAAAAATTCACAAAAAACATCAACATTCAAAACCATTTCAAATGACAACAACCCAAATGGCAATTTGAAGAAGTAGTAACCAACTAGTGATTCAAGTATGTCTATATCACATAAGATTCAGACTAGGGTAAATTTCTAAAAACCCAARCTAAAAATGGTTTATAAAGTGGTTGATGACATTATGCTTGCAASGAATAGAAAAGGACTTCACTAGGGTCAGGTTGATAGGAACTTATATCAATCGTTGAATAATTTATGCACAAAATTTAAACCTACCCATATACATCAGGTCGTCAACTAATCATATGTAGCACTGACCCTACAGWGGAATATTATATTCAACCCATAAATAACAAGATAACGATTAATCACTAAACTACAATACATTAACGCTGATAYGTTTTTCTTTATAGACAAAAGACATCAAAGTATAAAGTAGGGTTCAATTAAAAGATACGATTATTTTTGGAAACCACACTTTAATCCATTAATTTAAACTCCAAAAAGCTGATTAACAATAGATATTAAACTAATTATTCGTAATAAAAGTCACACGGAAAAAAAAGAGTAATCCCTAATCAGTAAACAGCAAGTTAGGTATGAAAATTAACAGTAAAAAGCAGATTAAAAACCTAAATCATGATTGTGAGAACATGTTGAATGAAAAGTWAAAATGATTAGAAGAAGATGATTTAATACCTGAAATCGAAGGCGAGGATAATCATTGACATCAGTTTTCGAATTAAACAAAGAAATTGTTGATTCAACGATCAGTTTCTTCGAAAGAAGAAGAAGATGATGATGGAGGATAATGATTTGAATGGAGCTTCAGGTGAAGATAGCCATGGCGGTCCCGGTGGATGATGATGAAGAAGAAGAAGAAGAAGAAGAAGAAGAAGAAGAAGAAGGAGGTGGGGGGCGGCAAAAGAATTGGAATTGAAGGAAAGCAGAATAAGCGATTTCAAACTTCAAAAACGTGCACTCAATTTTCTATGCCTCCATTTTCGGCAGACTTTTTATAATAAGGTCAAATGTGAGCATTCATAATTACCAAAATATGCTTTKATGTTATTTTATTACAAAACTATGCTTAACTTTTTCGTTATTATTTTATTATTTTAATCAAATTTTATGGATATTTGTCAAACGTTTATTGGGTAGATGTTGTRGTAAAAGTCATCACCGTTACTTGATTTATCAGGTAATATTTTCGGTTATAAAAAATAAATTGTTGGTGAGTATCTTTTACCTGTTAAGTGATGAAATGACTAAGGATCTGTTTGTTTTTTCAAAATTACCTCTAAATACCTTTGAAATCTGATTCGTTCAGGCGTTTAAATATCAAGTGGTTTGTTTTATTTCTAAAATAAGAGGTTAAAAACTTTAAATGTCCTCTGATTTTAAGTGGTAAACGTATACCTTAACACCTATTAATCCTAATCAGCCATCTATCAAATGGTTTATATTTTTGGGGCTGGAAGAGATTTGTTAGCAAAAACTATTTATCTTTTATACTTTTGTAAAAAAAAAACTATTTGTCTTTTATATTTTTGTACTAGCTTGACCGATTCATATGTCATATTTCAGACGTAAAAACAAACAATCTTACTGATCCAGATTTCAGACTTTGGGATCACCTCTTATGAATCAGAAATGAAATCAGACTTTAGACTTTATCACCTCTTAAAAAACAAACGAGCGTTTATTATCTATTATCGGGTAAGATTTTTGGTCATTGTCTTCACTCTGTAAGTAAGTGACAAACAGTAAATACCTACCGATACACGTTTGGTAATTTGCCTCTTATAGTTATAACTTAAGCTTTGCAATTCAACATCATTTAATGAAGACAAAACATCTGTCGTTATTATTAACAACCAATACTTAAATTTAAAGAAATCTGTGTACTATTTAACTGAATTAAACACATTACAATCTCTTCTGATGGCATATGATTGGATCTGGGTTTGTTATGAGATGGTGTTCCGAGGAGGCAGATGGTCAAACTGACTACCTGTCAACAAAATGAAATCAGATATGATGCCCCAATCGAGCAACTGGTCAATCAACCAATTAACCCATCGAGGGAGAAAAAAACGTTGATTGTCTTCCATCTCATTGTTGGAAACCTGCAAATGTAAGTACAGTGACCAGAAGATTAATGGGCTAGCAGTATCTAGGTTACCAGTAGATTTCAGCATTTTTTATGTCAGTGATTCAAACATCATCAAAGTTATACAAAGAAAATTGTGCAGTGACTTTTAAATAATGTGATTTTTGTGTGGACGGTGATCGTAAATGGATTAACCTTCAAAGGAGTTTGTTTGTATCCCATAGCGGCTCATGAATGACACGATAAATGTTGGTTTACGTAAATTTTAATATTGCACATGTATAGAGTAACTATACCAACACGATTAAGGGGCCGTTTACCCAAATGCTTACCCGGTAAGCGTTTATCGTTAGGAGTCAACACTATAATTTATTTAGATGCGTAAGATTTTAGTACATCAAAGCATATCGAATGCAACAATTTACTAGGTAAGCACTTATGTGGGTAAGAGTCGTCATTCTCGCTTATCGGGTAAGACTCTCTATATTTCTCATCGCTCTTATCCGGTAAGATTCTTGGCCAATTCTCATGTTCATCCAATGAGGAAATTTATGCGTTAAACAATTACCAAGTAAGTGTTTAGTAAACGACCCCTAAATGTATTTGTAGCAGTATCAATTTGGCTTAGCAAACAGTTTGGGAGCTTAATGATACTTTGTGCTTGCTCGATAAAGAGACTATCAGTCATATAGATTCGATTATATTGGTTCACCTTTTTAGAACAAAAAAATGATAACTAGAAAAATATCTAATAAACAATGAAACTCATTTACAGATATACTATAACGGTACTTGTGCAATGCAGCGAGATACTATTGATTTTAATATATTTATTTTTATTATTTATCTCAGTCGATGTTATAACATGATCTTATGTGATTTTGAAAAAACAATAATATTTTTATTTTTGAATAAAATGTAAATTTGAATATATTATAAAAAATTGATAAAAATATATCGATATTAGTATCAAAATAACTATTTTAAATTTCTCATTGTTTGTGTAGATTTTTAATTCAAAATTTTTATTATAATTTAATCTAAGTTCAATAACGAGGTAATTTATATTTGGTTTAACAATATAATTTTTTGTAAAGTTAATAATTAATTATTTTGTTAGAACTCAATAATTATCGTAATTATATTTTAGATTTTTTATATTTTAAAATAAAATGTTTATTTTTTATTTGATTATGTATTAAATCGTATGATTTTTATGTAGAGGTTAACCGTTTCGATAATACACCTTTGGTGCGGGTCAGAACTTACTCTACCGGCCTGGCCTGTTAACCTAGATTATCGATTATTTCATTTATCCACAGTTAGTTACACGAATTCAAATATGAAGTTTTAATAAGTTGTACTTACACACAATTTACATGTAATATTGAATTTTAAATAATATGTATCAAACAATACTTTGTGCATAAAAAATGGTTTTTAAGAGTTTTTGTCAAATATTTTATAATATAATCTAGATTATTTAACATTTAAAAAGTAAATGTATAATATACAGTACTGTTTTATATGTCAAACATATATAAATACATAAAACATAAATGTAAAGACGAATAATAATTGTACTTTACAGCATCTCCAACAGATTATTTAAAATTATGAACCACAATTCAAAATCTCTAAATAAAGTACCTTTCAACTCTAACTGGACTGCTTATCAATTTTGAAGATTACAATATTGATTATATTATTAAAATATTTTATATATTTAATAAAATATTATTTATGTCTTATGAGTATTTAATTTTAAAGTTTAGTATTAACGAAATATAAAGAAATATTTCTATATCGTTACTCATTTATGGAAGTTATTCAAATTTGAAAATATATATTATAATAAAAGCTTATTTGAAATCTCCATTTTCATATAAAATTGGAGATGCTTTTAATTTTTGGCATAAAATAATAAAAATTATTAACAACAAATTGCATGAAAAAATAATGTATTTTAATTTGATTTTTATTTTTGGTAATATACTTTTAAAACTTTCATTTTGTTATAAAAAATATAAAGTTTTAAACATTTAAGTACCCGAGTAACCGGCTGAAGACCAACTTTAGATTAAAAAAAAAAACACTATTTTTAGATCAAAAAAAATCCATATCACTAACCACGTCAGCAAATAATACCGAGTTTAATATCACATTACTCGTTACATCAACATGATAACCAATTAATGCTTCAACAGGTTATCCGAATACTTAAATATTTAAAACTTTACATCTTATGTACCAAAATAAAAATTTTAAAAGTATGTTATTTAAAATATAAATTAAAATTAAATTTACCAATAAGTAGAAATGTTAATATTTGAGGTTTTTAAATATTTAATGGTTTTTATATTTAAATATTATATAGGAAAAAGGGCTAGGGCTATAAAGGTGTAAATTACTGTTTTTTTGTTTTATTGGSTACAATCTTTTGTAGGACACCTACACCCTATAAAGGATTTGATTTGACCATTTCTTTTATTTTAGGGTTTTTTTCCCCACTCTCTCATAAATATTTTATTTATTTATTTATTTTATGTTTTATACCTTTGTTATGTTCATAATTTCATATCATTAGAGTCTATGATTAAATCAAAAAATATTCTAGACTTATTTCGATGGAATTGACGAGACAATTATAATGATGTAACTTATTAAAATAAAAACATATATTTTAGTAAATATACGATTATATATGTTAATGTGATAATAAATATAAAACGAAAAATAAAAAAAGTAAAAGACGTACTGTAAATTAAAACATTACTAAAAGAGTATAAAATCTAAGTATTAAAAATATTTATCTCTTAGTATATATATCATATAATAATATAATTAAATCAAAAAATATTCAATATTTGACTCA